AATTTCGGTTGTTTACATACCCATTGAGCCGGAAATGAGTCTCACCGCTAATAGACAGCTTGACACCGATCACTCGTGATCTGTTAAATTAAGACTTTTAAAAGAAGTACCTTTAGGACCACAATCTCTGAGAAATTTCGTGAAAATTTCTAAACAAATAAAAAAAAAAATGTTCCATAAAAGGACTTGAAGCTATATGCTTTAGTAGTGCGATAATAATTTATCTAGCTGAGATTAGCGTGATTTTGTGACCCTATTCCACATATTTTCAATACTAACTTATAGGTATACTTTTTATAGATCTATAGGCGTATAAATGGCCTAACTTGAAAATCTATTCTGGAAGTGAGAAAATTGTATAAAAAATTATATTGACATTTTGAATACAAAATGGTGACTTTTCAAGTGAACTTCTACGGACGATGGTGACACTTGGAACTCGTGCTAGTAGAACCTATAAAGCCATTAAGACTTGCTAGTACAGTACGTGTGGTTTTAGCTTCTCATAAATAATTAACAAAACCACGGATTCGTAAAAGAGGTTAAATTTTTCACCGTAGAAAGGAGGAGTAAATTCTTTTGAAAAAACTCAAACTTCAAACTCTTCGACACTCCAGCGAATTGATTTAGACCAAAGTTTTTTTTTTACTATTTTGCTAACTGATTAATATATTTAGGACCTCTAAGACCCTTCAATTTGTTCACAAATACAGTGTAAGCAACAAATAGGTGATCAAAACTAATTATATTATATCACACAGGATATTGTTTTGTTTTGTTTTATTCTTCCACTAAATATGAAACCACTTTCTTAGGAACTACAAAACTGCAAATCTGAACCATTGGCTGATGTTATCAGTATCTTCCATCAACATTAAAATCAATTTTTATATTGTAAATAAAGTATTTCAAAGAACATACAGCAGATCTGATCGATTTTCTTTGGTTCTTCTTGAAAACATTAGACAAAAACATCTAGAGTTGCAAGAGATTATTTTTCAAAACTCTACTGAATATCGAATAGGTAACAGAGGACCTATATATATAGGTATTTGTCGATCTCAAGAGTTTTAAGTTGAGTGAGTGGTTGGCATGAGAGTCTAGTTCTGGGTCTGACGGCATAGCTTATAGGATGGTTGGGTCGTAGGAAATTCTTCTTCACTGAGGATACTCACTCTACTGCTCTGTTGAAGGAGGATACTGAAAAACCGACGTCATTTACCCATTTGGGGTGTTAGTTAATGAGCCCCATACTTAGGTATCAAGTTATAGGATAACCTGAACATTTTAAACAATCAAACCAAAAGAACTTTACACGCATATATTAGCATAGCTTCCTTTAAAAGCCTTGTAAGTGACATAAGAGACTGCCCACAAAGTATTAACTCAGAGGTCATTCCACTCACACTTCAACACACAAATACATTTAGGTGCATATGGCATGTTTGAAAATGAGATAACAATTTCCACGCCATAAACACCTCTCCTCCGCAGTTAGTGCAAAACCTATCATGCTGCTGCGATGACTCTGTCGTTGAAGACCCACGGGAATCTGCAGCCAATATCCAATTGCAGTTATAAACATACATATTGAGGTTAAAAAAAGCGTACAATCACACATAACGGTATAGAAACATGCGCCGTCGGGCAAATTGTGCTTACGGTTACCCTTGTGGTGTCATAAATTATCGAGTTATTAGCGCAGTTCAATTTATTGCGGATTTTCCACGCAACACTTTTTTGCGCTTGCAATTGATTGCCACACTCATATGGCACGCACACATACAAACTTTCGTTAAAGGGCATTGAACGCATGTCTATATACATTTCTATACATATGTACCTTCAATTTTCCTCGACTCTCTGTGCTGACTATGTATCCATATTCACATATACCATGTGTGTTAAAGATTTTTATTAAGCAAACTTTCACAGTGTTTATGATACACCGGGCGCGTGTGTGGACCGCGATAAAAGCGCAAATTTGTTGCATCGCTGAAAATATTAATACACTGTTTAATTTATGATCTTTTAAAATAAACTGCCTGTGAAATAGTGTGGAAAATATGGTTTCATTGTAATTTAATGGACTAATCAATTGTAAAGTTGGCAGTATTAATGATAAATACCCTAAAAGTTACAAGGAATCTTTACCGGAAGATTTGTCGTACATAAAAATTATACAAATTTTTATTAATATTTAGATATATGCCATTAGATCTGTGAGCTATAAGACAGACATAATGTAGGAGTGCTACTCCGAACTGAGCGCTGTACATATGTCACACAGTTGTAGAACTATTTCTAAAAACTTATTTCCCACATTCAAAATTTCATCATTTCTATTTTATATTTTCCAAATAGCTTAAAATATTTTTATCTCATATGTAGTTTTTGGCAATTAAATTGTTCAACTTCAAATATATCGAAATAGTGGTAACCTCTGCGACTTCTTCAACCTGCTTCTGGAGAAAATAATTCGAGCTGCAGAACTAAGTAGAGAAGGTAACATCTTCTACAAGAGTGTATAAATGCTGGTGCACAGCGATGACATCGATATCATTGGCCATGACAACCGCGACGTTAAGTTTGTTAGGTCTGGCGGAGAACGAGGGCAAGACGAAATATCTCCTGTCATCAAACGAACAGCCGCCGCACTCGCGACTTGGCTCTCGCGTCATTGTTGACAGTCATAACTTTGAAGTCGTAGATAATTTCGTCTATCTTGGAACCAGCGTAAGCACCACCAACAATGTCAGTCTGGAAATCCAACGCAGGATAACTCTTGCCAAAGTCAAAGTGTGTCCGTCCTCACTATAAAAAGAGTCAAGCTACTTCGTCAACAGTCGCGTTTGGGTGCCTGGTCGAAGCGGAATCACAAAACTGACGAGCTAGCCAGAGAGAACACGCTAGCCTCGTGGCCTATTAGCAGTCTCTGGTCAACGACTCACTTCTGTGAGACTGTGAAACCGTTTTGATTTAGAACTCAGGAGATCTACTGAACAACTTGCCTTTAGCAAAATTCATCTTGCCGCAATCGTGGGGTTTTTACTGGACATTGTCTATTACTCATTCATTGGGTAAGGGTAGAACTTTTGACGGACGCTAGTTGTCAAAGTTGTATGGGAGAGAATGAGGCATAAACATTCTCGCACTTTCTCCTCCATTGTTCAGGCTTTGCAAGGCTAAGGTTGGAACATCTCAACAGTCCTAGCTTCGGCGAACCAAAAGACATAGCCGTTTAAAAAAGTTGTTGCAAACGGCTCCAAGCGCTTCTTCGATTTGTAACAATCTTATGATCAATTATATAGTCATTTAAGCGGTTACATGGGTTTCCTTGGGCAAAAAACTGCCTTTTTTCAATAATTTTTTTTACATATAAAAAATGAAATACTTTAATGAAATTTTTTATTTATTTAACAGACTCATAATTAGTAAACATTTTGTAAAATTTTCAAAAAAAAACTCAAAATTTTCAAAAAAAAAATGTCAGTCATTACGACGCCATTTTCGACAGTCCCTCGGAAAAAAAGGTGCATTCGCGTTGTCAGCAGAACTTCTTTCAAATAAAAATAAAAAATACGTGTTTTAGTAAAGACAATAAACTAGGTATTGGACGAAGGAAAACAAAAAAAAAAAAAAAAAAATAAAAATAAATTGGATTTTTGGCATTTCTCGAAATTTTTTTTTAAATAGTTGCAATTAAAAAAAAATCCTTCGTTCAAGACCTTGTAAATGATAACTCGAAGACCTGTGTAAAATTTCATCCACATCGGTTAAGTAGTTCGTGAGAAATCTTGACAACGGACTTTGAAAACATAGTTTTGAGAAAAACGCGTTTAAAGTTTTACCTACTGCTCCCTCAGCTTATACCTGACCTCGAGCGTCCATCTTTTCAAGGTTGTATCTCCGAAACTGTTAGTCGGATCAACCTGAAAATATAGGACAATATTCTAGAGATTTTATAGAATTTAATAAGAATTTTTTTTTTCGATTTTTTGAAACTGTGAAACCTATGTAACTTCTTAAGGTAACACAACGGACCAGCGTTAAAAGCTGTTCATGTTAGATCCCTTGCACTATCGATCTCATAACCTACCCTGAACTTTAGGAACATGCAACATTTGGGAGTGAAAAATGAACAATTCTTAAGAATCAATATTTCAAACTGATTCTTGGGGCGATATTTTTCTATAAAATGACGTCCAATTATGTTTACGTATTTCAATACATAATTTTTTACTTTAGATAAGCATTTTCGTAAGTCAGTGGCGCAAAATGCTCAACTCGCATAAAATTTCTCTGAAATTATGCAACAATACTGATGAGACTGATGACACTTCTGTTATCGAATATGTACCCCATTTTGTTTGTTGTTGTTGTGAAAAAGTTCCTAAGATATATTTCAGCACAATAGAAAATTTTATGAACTTTACTCATTTCCTAAACTCTTTTAACTTAAAGTATTTAAGAAAAATAGGCGAATTCCCGTTTTTAGTGTGTGTTCGTTTGCTATGCGCTTAGTGAAGAACATTACCAGTAGCTCAAGCATACCAATGGCAATCAATGAGACGCTTACAGACCTACAAAATCTACATCACTCATACGTACCGACATAATTATTTTGAATAAAGTGTAATAATTAATATATATTATATTGTAGCACCCTGTAATCGCATTTGTATATCATAACACTGTTAAGTCATGACTTAGGTAATAAATAAACGAGTTTACAAAGTACATGTGTTATTTTTAGTGCTGCATGTGACCACATGTAACTACCTCTGTTTGTGCATATGTAAGCTTTTTGTGGCACTTAGCCACTTGTGAGGCACAAAACAATTAATTAGACTTTTTCCTCACTTCTTCTTCTCTTTTTTCTTCCTGGCGCTTTTACTTTCGTGCTGGGCGTTATTTGAATTTTGTTGTCGTCATTCGCAACATTGCCAACATTTCGCATTACTGGGCCGAAAACTTGAAAACTAAATGAACAACAACAGCAAACGTGTATGTAACAAAGAAAATTCCAACAGCTTGGAATAGCGCAAAAATAAGCAAGCAACAACAACAAGCATAGTCAGCAATTGAATTGTAGCGAAAATTCGGCGCCATTTGGGGAAGCCAACGACGACAGTCCACCAGCAGCGCCACATAACCACCGAACCAGCAGCGACACGCACCAGCAACAACAACCAAACAAGGCACACACATACACACACACTTTCCTAACACAGAGGGAATCTCTATAAAAGTGAAATTTTTGCCACACGACGCCCAATAAAACAACCGGAAACACAATGGTAGCAGCACAACTGGCAATTCGACGCAACAACGCCAACAACAGCAAACAGCACAAAATCAACAAGAAACAGAGTGGAACTCTGTGCAGCAACAGCAATGGCGGCAGCGCCAGCGCCCAGATGAAATGTCGCCGCGGTGGCGTCGGTGTGGCCTCAGCGCCAACGCTCAGTCTCGGCTTGTGGCTGCTGCCTGTGCTGTTGGTGTTGTTGGCGTGGCAGCAGCAGCCATGCGAGGGACGTTATCTGCCGACAAGGTCACATGGCGACGATTTGGATAAATTGCGCGAATTAATGTTGCAGGTGAGTGCCAAATAAACAAGTGTCTATATACATATGCAGTTATATAGTATTTATGTACTTATGAGTATGTGTATATGAAAGTGCAAGTGGCAAGATAAATGCAAATGTGTGCTTGTAATGCACGCAGAGGGGAGAAAAGATTGAAATTTTGGTAAAAGAAAACTCAGGAAAAAAAAAAATAAAAAAATATATAAAAAAAAAAATAGAAAAAAAGTAAAAAAAAATACAAAACACATAACGGTAAAAAACTGCAAAAATTTGCTCCGCACACTGCAGCTGCAATTACATATATGACCTGCCACATCTGTCTTCGCTTGCCAGGCACTGGCTATTAACTGCATTTTATGCATGCAGATGGCTCCTGCCGCCACTGGGAATGCCAGCCGCGGAGACTGACTAACCGCAACTACCAAAATTGGCTGCTCTTCGAAATTTTTTCATACATATTTACCTACAAACGTACATACATACATGCATACATATTTAAACACATACACTTGCGTATATTTCTTTGCTGCTCACTGTAACGAATCGCATGCGGACATGAGTGGGGCGTAATTGTTGCAATAAAGTGGTAGCCGGTAGGCTTGGCGTTATTTGCTACCAGCAATTTGTACACAAACAACAAAATGGGTGGAAAAAAGTCCGTAAAATGAAAATAAATCAAAAGTTAATCAGTCGTAACGAAATTAATGACAATTCCAATCGTGTATGACGCGCATGCGCGAAACACTTAAATTTCAATTATGTGCGCGCACCCGACGGTGTGAAGCGTGAAGTAGAAACGGTGGGGAATTCGTGAAATATTTGAGAGATTTATTGAATGAGAGGCGTGCACAATTATGCGAAATACTCAATTGTTCGTTTGTATATTTAAATGTATAATATTTACAATTGTAAAAATTTATTAAAATCGATTGAAAGAGAAGTAGAAATTGTTTCAGATGAATATATTGGCACCTAAAATGCAAAATAGCGTATCATCAAGCAAATTAAAACTCAAATAAAATAACCGTTATATGTATAACCAATATATAACTAATATATAACCAATAAATAAGCACTTTATAACCAAAACTCAAAATGATTTCAAGTTATTTTGCATTTTGGGTGACCATAAGAAGTATTGAAGCTTTGTTCTTCTTATTCTTCTTTTCGAAAATTTTACTTTCTTTCCAGCATAATTTTTTTGCTAAAACCCAGCTTCATCGGAGCTCAGATATCCATATATATATATATCCATATTCTCAGTTGAAATCTGAAATGTTTTGCCCATATAAAAGTAAGATAACGGCACGATTTAGTGTACTGCTCTTCAACAGTAGACTCGAGTTCCGAACTCAAAAATTTAAAATAGAAATTTCCTTTCACAGAACTATAGCAGAAATTGTCTTTAACCCTGTTTAAATCTGTTAACATTTTGACAAAATATGTAAAAAAAATATCTGAATTTAATAAAAGATGCGTTGAGAACCCTAGAACCCGTCAAAAACAGATTGGTAGGGCAAACTTGTCACTACTTGCGGCCTAACCAGATGACTTGGATGTCGCCAGCTTTTGATATTATATATATGTATATAGAGTCGTAAAGTCGCGAAAGTGCACGTTATTCGGAGACATTAATCGCCAAGATAGTTATTAATGGTTCTGATAGTAATGTCACACATACTGGGTCTATAGTATAACTAGATTCGTTTGGTTCGCCAAAAGATATCATAATTTGAATATTAATTGGTTTAAGCGAACAAAACAAGCATTGGGAAGCTACAAAAATAAGTGGCTTTTGCGTCGGAGTGCGACTGGTGTGAGAATGGATCTATTATTATAATATTGCGATCTGTAAATGTGTACAAAAGCACATAACAAAAGTGGCGAAACCAAGAGCAAATATCTATAACGTCAAGGTAACGCTATATTTTGTGGGATTAGACATGCGTGCTGCATTATGAACTTCTGAAACCATGCGAAAACCTGAATAGTGTATGCTATCGGAAACAATTTGAAGCGAGCGAATGTCGAAAAACGTAAGACTGGTTAAAAACAATTCAGAAAGCAGTGGTTAGGATGTTTTGCCATACTAGCCTAAAAATCAAGACCTAGAATTTTTCCCTATTATTCCGAACGATGCAGGACGTCCTCATTGGAATACGGCCATCTTCGCCACTGCACCGCTCGCTACATGTGAAAGCAACATCACTGTTATACAGCACAATTTTTAGCACTAGAATTGCTTTCTACTTTGTTATGTGTTCGATTCGCTATTCTCTTAGCTTTGGAGGCCGTTATAGCATATTTGCCATCCCTCAATATTCTAATCCAATTAAGTAAAAATACTAAAATCCCAAAGCGTGCCGAAATTTTTCTCATTTTGACAGACTATTCTTTCAAAATCGAGGACTATATAGTTAATGAAATTTTCCCAAAATTACTTGGGTATATAAACAAGATATTTTTATTACTTCACAGAGTTATTAAATATAGTTACCATAAACAAAAATTTCACGTATTTGTTACATCTATCATATAATTCCGAATAAGCGACAGACAATAGGAATCATCAAACTTACCTGAAAAAAGGAAAAATAAATAAATAAATTTTAGTAAACAAGAATAACAAAATAATAATAAAAATAGTGAGGGAAAAAATCAACTAATTGATCATCATTATCGAAACAATCCCCAAAAAGACTTTATATTATATGTTATTGAATAATTTTATGCATTTTTTGTTTTCCAAATCATAATTCATTGAACACTATATAGTTCCTTCCTATATTCTGAAAGACGTTGTTGAGGTCCTAGCTAAAAGTTCCTGTCACATTCTGTTAGAAACTGTCTACAAATTCAAACGGCCAATTAAAATGAATAGTAAGACTCCGTAATACGGAAATCTCTTGTGCTTTTCATAATTGTTTGGTATCTTCATCAGGCTATGCGTAAATTCGTCTGAAGAAGTATACACATTTTTCCATTGGTCGAACAGAATTTTTCTGGGTGTAAGTGATTACACCGGACAGGTTTTTTATTATCCTAAATGGAGATTTTCTTTTATTGATATTGAAGACATAATTAGGTCAACTTTGGACAATGCCGAGGCCCATATGAACAGAAAATAGTAAGACTTTGTTCATAATTTTAAAAATTCTTAATTTATCCTTCAAAATCTATGTCGTACTCGTCAAAGTAATCCACCTTGACTCCAATACACTTGAACCAAAGTTTTCTCCAATCCTAGAAATAGTTGTTAAAGTCAATTTTCGGAGTAGCTTTCAGTTGTGCGTAGCGGTTCAAGTTTTATGGCTTCTAAACGGTTTCCCAGAAGCGGTTTTTTGAGTTTGCTAACTCACGAAGAATTAGTGCAGTAAGCGACGGTGCATTATCGTGTTGAAGTGGTGACTTTTTTTACGAATAGTAGTAATAGTATTCCTAGTTAACATCTTGATAAATGGAGAAAACTCTCAAAATTACTTTGTTTTTTGACCTGCTTTAACGTGGTGTTTTTGGCTACGGCTCACTTTTGTCACAATATTCGGCCGATTGATCGTCTGTTTTCGGCTTATAAGAATAGATCCAAGACTCATTGCCGGTAATAATCCATTTTATGACATCCTGGTAGTCGGAAAGCATTGTTTCCCAGACCTCAACGTGACACTTTTCTAAAAGAAATTTAGTGATTTTGGAACCAATCGAGCTTTCACTTTTCTTAAGCCCAAATGAACCTTCAACATGATTTTCACTGATCCTTCCGATATTCCAACGATGCCAGTAAGATCTCTGACTTAAGCACCAAAACGCGAATCGAAAATGCAAAGCTTGCCACAAAAGTGTTTAAAGTGAGACCTCACATATTTAGAAATTTTTGTAGATAGATTCCTTGACAATCAAAAGATTTGACTTAGCTTAAATTGAAACTGGTTCAAATAAAACTTTAAGCAAAGATTTCTAGCTATTGGTTTTTGAGATGACCTTGAAAATCTCGATGATTCTGATGTAAAAGTGATCCAAGAAAAACTTTAATAGTTCTCACGACTAGGTATTTGAAAAGTAAAGTCCTCTATCGACTAACAAAAGCCAAAATCTATAAGTCGCTCATAATTCCCGTAGTGCTATATGGTGCAGAGGCTTGGACGATGACAACAACTGATAAGTCGACGTTGCGAGTTTTCGAGAGAAAGGTTTTGCGAAAGATTTATGGTGCTTTGCGCGTTCGCCACGGCGAATATCGCATTCGATGGAACGATGAGCTGTATAAGATCTGAGACGACATTGATAAAGTTCAGCGCATTAAAAGAAAGCGGCTACGCTGGCTAGGTTATGTTGTCCGAATGGACGAAAACACTCCAGCTCTGAAAGTATTCGACGCTGTACCCGCCAGGGAAAGCAGAGGAAGACCTCCACTCCGTTGGATGGGCCAGGTGGAGAAGGATTTGGCTACGCTTGGAATATTCAATTGGCCCCATGTAGCGAAACAAAGAAACGACTGCCGTGCTGTTCTTAACTCGGCTATAATCGCGTAAGCGGTGTCTACGCCAGTAAAGAAGAAGAAGAAGTTCTCACGACTTCAGTTATATTCCAGAATTATAACAACTTAACCCAACTTTGAGACCATGCATATAATGACCTGTACAGAAAAAGAGCTTCACAAGAAATTTTGATGGTTAGAACGGCCACAATTTAGTGGAGCATAAAGCCTCGATGAAACTCAGTTAAGGAAAAATTCATTAAGTAAGAACTTAACTCTCATAAAACACAAGATTAAAAACATACAAAATCTCCACTAAGAACCCAAACACTGTAGAGCGCCATCTTCAGTTGCAACCACACTTTCTTAATGTCACAACGCTCGAACAAACCGCACAATTACTAACGGAAATTGCTGTTTTTGTGGCATACCACAGCGCTGTGGACGAGTCACGCCAATAACGTAAAATTTATACAAATTGCAATTACGTCACAGCGGTAGGCGCCAACAACAGCAACAGCAACAACAAACAGAAATC